ATATATATATATATATATATATATATATATATATGTATCTCTATTGTATATATATACCTTATTAAATCTTTTAATAAACATTATTAAACAATATTAAATAGTTAAAATTGAAAAAACATATATAATAAATTTTACAATAATTTATCATTTTGAAAATCGATAGATATTTACATAACTTGATTCCAAAATAAATGTTTATCGGAAAAATAAGTTAATCTCTTTTACTTAAGTTCTTAAAATAATTACGTATCAAAACGAATTGACTACTTAACTCGAAGTTAAATAGAAAAAAAAATAATAATAAAAAACAAAAAACGGTATGACAAGGATCCTCCTAAAGTGAATTTTCTCAAACGGACATTCTGGGTCTTTCCAACAAAGAACGGTAAACTCACTAAGAAAAGTGGCACTTTTCGCAAGGCATTATTGCATTTCGCGGTGTTTTCCAACAGGAAAGTTATATACTCTCCACCTTTCTCACAAAACCAAAAAGGACTTTATTCGATTCTGCTCTCGTTGGATTTTTTACTTTTACCCCACGATTAAAAGAAATGAAATTTCTCGAAACAAGGGTGCAGAGATAGATGGACCAAAGGCGTGAAGATTTTTTTTTTCTTTTCTTTCATTTTTTTTGGTTAATTCTTTTCTTCTTCCTTCTCTTCTTCTTTCTGTTCTTTTTTTTCTATTTTTTTTTCATTTTTTTGAACTCGTAATCATAAAGAAACACAAATGCAAGGAGGAATGCCGTTGGATACGACTCGCTGCGTCTAATAATAATTCGACGTCTTTTTCGAGAGCAACAGGTCTCCTTATTCGTGAGCATTTTCCAACAAACCCTCGTTTTCCCTTTCTCTCTCTCTCTCTCTCTATATATATATATATATATATATATATATATATCTTTCCCTCCCTCCCCCCTCCCTCTCTTTCTCTCTACTTTTCCGTATACATGTGTATGTACTTACAAGCATACATGCATACATGCATACATGCATACATACATACATGCATACATACATATTATATACATACAATATTCGAAGTCGAATTGAATCGGATATGCTAGCGACACTGCTCTCTTTTACGTTGGATCATGCGAGCGTGCTCGACGCATCCGTTAAGGGGTCTACCCTAATTAGAATTTTCACAAAATCGATTTTTTTTTTTTTACATTTTTCGAAAGTATACATATCTAGAAGTATCATACTAAAATTTTATAAAGATCGGAGCAGTGTAACTGTACTTTTTTGCGACCTTTACCTTACTCCGCTCGGTCAAATACCGCGCGCTCTCTTGTTCACCGAAGAAGCTGCTATTTAACGTCCCTATTGTGGGGGTGGATTTAGACAGAGAAAGAAATATGTATAACTAACTGAAGATGATATAATATAGTTTATTAAATTATGATGATGTGATATTTCATAAATATTATCATAAAATCACAACTGATAGCAACCCTCAGCATTCGTACTGTTCCGACTCTTGGTGCAAGTAGAAGAAAGCTGTGAGAGACAAGACAGTTAAAAGTTTCAAACATCTTCCTGCTCTTGCAAAAGATGTTCAAGAAATTCTAAAACCAATCTACGAAGATTTGACAAAGCAAGAATTACTAAGAAGATGCTTTGGTGGAAACACGCAGAACAACAATAAGTCGTTCAACAACTGCGTTTGGGCAATGGCTCCTAATCACGTTTTTAGCGGAAAAATTATTGTTCAAATCGCTTGTCAAACAGCTGCTTGTATTTTCAATGAAGGTTTTCAAACAGTTTTGAAAATTATGTCAGTAATGGGAGTCAAAATTGGCCCGAGCGCCATGCACTTTGAATCTGAACGTAACAGAGAACGCATACGTGTAGCAAACCGCCGCAGCACTGATGCCTCTAAAGAAGCCAGGACGCAACGCAGAAACGCTATTTTGGATTAAAATGAACGTTATGAAGAAGAGGAAGGTATAATGTATAGTGCAGGTATCGCTGATTAATAACAGGTAAAATTTTTTCACGATTTTTCCTTGAAAAAAACTTTAAACGCGTTTTTCTCAAAACGACGCTTTCCAAAGCCTTGTTGATAAAATCTCCGAAACTACTAGTCCTATCCCACTGAAATTTTTACCACATATTCTTTACTATTATAGCTATAGCGCATATCGAGGGTTTTTTTAGATTTTGATTTTAACTATTTTTTTTTGGCCGAAAACAGTAAAAAAAACGTGTTTTTTCGAAAAATGTCCGCCAAAAAAATAAAAAATCATTCGATATGCGCTATAGCTATCAATATACTGAATCAAACAATGTTAGATTTTTTTGTTTCAGACCCACCATTCCAGAGATATTATCAACAGCAAAGACACACCTTTATTTTAGGACGTTTTTTGAAGTATCATTTTCATGTATAAAAAGTTACTAAAATATACAAAAAAAAATAGTTTAATGTAGTTCGATAGTGTATTATTACAGTGCAATAAATTATATATCAATATTTATAATATAAAACTGTTTAAAAAATTCTAAAAAACTGTCTTTTTTTAGTGTGTCTAATTGGAGTAGACCCCTTAACAGTAATAACTTGAAAATTCTTCTGGGGGTGCAACAAGTAAAACGATCCTTTCATCAATTCAACTTTTACGCGATTTTTATTATAAGTGAACATACATAGAATTTAAAATATATTCATCGATGTTTTGGACTATTTGAGAAATAGAATGTAATTTTTTTTTCCTTTTTTTTCTTTAATCATCCTAATTATGTATAAAGTAAGCAAAAATATTTTTTTTGTTTTTGCCTTTTATTTAATATATTGTAATATAAATTATTCTGATCTTATGGAAAAAAGAAATGAATAAACCAGAGCTTGAATTTACTGTTAAGTTGTATTCGTGGCTATGAAATTGAATATAATTTGAAATAAATAAATATATTATTTTTTATTGAAGCAGTAATTATCAATCATTGACACAACGTCAGTCTGATTTAATACTAAAACGTAACGTAATTGTAATTTTTTCGACTTATTTCGATCACTTTTAACCCTCAGGAAGGCGTATAACTAGCCACAGCGTACTGCGTGCTTCAATTAAGTAAAAGAAAGTAAGGGTGGATGGCAAAGATTAATAGCTGTTCGTTATTTCACTCCCTTTTCGTTACTTCAGGCGCACGTTTCTCGAGTATTTAAATATTCGATTTAATAACCTTGTTAAACGCTAATTCTGCTATCGAGAAAAGATATGATAAAATAGGTTGGAAAAAAATAGAGAAAGAAAAAGAAAAAAATGCTTCATTTTAACGAACCAATAATAATAAGGATGAATCATGAAAATTATTGAAAAACTTTTTCAAAGTGTTTTTATATTATACAAAAGTGAATAAAAAAAAATATCTTTTCTTTGTAATTCTAGCAACGTAACTTGGCAAGTATAATATAATATAAAGGACGAGATTTTTCTTTTAATCCCCTTTTCTTAAGAAATTTAACTTCGTCCCATCGTCATTATGCATCGTGGAAAAAAGTAATCTAAATTTATAGCCCGTCGTTATTCGACTACCGACCTTTCAGCTCTAAGAAAATCTTGTCTACCTTTCTCTTTTACACGTTATATACCATATTATGATCTCATGACCAGAAAATTTCAGAGGTAGAAGGAGAGAAAGTATCGTAATAATTTTTTTGTCTAGTAATTCTAAAGAAAAGAAAAAAATAATAAATTATAAAAAAGGAATGTAAAATTATTTAATTCGTTTAACAATAATCATTATTAAATTTTGCATCAAAAGTTTCATTAATCAGAAACTTAATATTTAATATTTAGTTGCATCAAAAGTTGTTGTTGCACCAGGAGTTTCATTAAAAAATATGTTACGTTGAAAATAAGGTGGTAAAAGTAAGATGTGCTTTGTCTACTGTAACCGACAGAAGGACTACAGAAGAGAAAATAGATATTACCTTAGCATTTTATGCGAAAACATATTAGAAACTTGAAAAATATTACAAACAGAAAAATATAAATAAACTCAAACATAAAAAAACATAAAAAAAATAAAAACATATAAACAACATATAAACTGCGATACACAATTTTTTTATGAAACAATAAAATAGATTCGTTTAAGGGTTCATTCTGGTTTATACTCCGAAAAAAAGGCTATTTTCACGATTTTTTTTTAGGCTTTGTAGGATACATATACATATAAAAGTTGTTGGGTATGATAAATACACTCTAGAAGTACAAGAAAAAAATTTTTTTTATTGTTTTTAACGTTTTTTGACATCCAAAATGGCTGACAAACGTGAACCCGTCAAAAGTAGGTATCTGTTGGCTGGCATCGAAATTTGAGAATGGGTGATCTAAAACAAAAAAATTAAACGGTTTTAAATTCAGTATGACAATGGCTATCGGGTATGCTGAAACTATCAATTTTTATGAAAACAAAACAAAATGACGGCCATTTTTCGAAAAAAAAAATCGTTGATTTTTTTCGCAGTTTTTTGTAAAAAAAAAGTAGTAAAAATTAATATTTTGACTTGGTTGTAGCATGCGAGATAGCCATTCATGTGTAGTGTATGTGGTTTAAATTTCAGAAGGATCGGTTGAGTAATTTCGGAGATATCATGCCCGCCAACCGAAAAAACGTTGTTTCGAGAAAAACGCGTTTAAAGTTTCTTTTAACAAAATTTTAAAAAGTCTGACTTTACCTTATTCTGCGATGCCTGCACCATACAGTATGCCTTCTGCTTCTTCAAAATACTCATTTTCTTCCACTCTAGCCTTTTTTCGTTGTGTCCTGGCCTCTATCAAAGCTTCTCCGCTCAAACAATTGGCTGAGCGCACGCGCGTGTTGCCGCGGTTACTTAATTATTTTAACAGCTTAAAATATTTTATTAACGTATAGTGTAAGAAACCAAGAAAACCATCGTTAAATCGAGGAAAATAATTATAATATTTAAATTTTTAACATTGTAACAACGATACTTTAATAAAATAACTCAATCCTGGCTGTAAATACACTTAACAATTGTTTTTGTACAATTTTATTCAATTTCTAAGATTTAAAAAAAAATCCACAAAAATTTTAACGCGAAGTTATGTAAAATAAGCTAATTTTAGAATATTTTTTTTTTCAATCGAAAAAAAAAATAGAAAGAAAAGTCGGCACAAAATCTAAATAGGGGGGTTAAATACTATCTTAGTTGAAGTTTTTTTTTGAGACAAAAAAATTGAAAATCGAAGATTCCGAACTTCGAAAAAATGACGGTTTTATTGAAAAAACGAAAATATTTCATATCTCCTGACTTTTTAAAATTTTTTTTTATTTTTTTCTGAAAACTACAATTAAAAATAAAATTTAAAAAAAAAAGTGCCAAAAGGTTTAATTTGTGTCAAAGTTATAACAATTTGAAAAAAAGAGCGTTTTTTTTCAAAAATTGGTAATTTTTTTTGGGTTGGGTAAAAAAATCTAAAAAAATTCAGAAAAATGTCTTTGATAGGGTAGAAAATGATAAAAAATTTTCAGCGAAATCGAAGGGGGTCGGGCCGAAACCTCGGTGATTTGGGATATTGGAATGCCCCATATATAGACTTTTTTTTTGGACCACTCTAATATATATATATATTAATAAATTTCTATTTTCCCGTTTAAATAATACGTAAAAAAAATTATTTATACGTTTTTATCCGGTAAAACTACGAAAAAAATTTTTTTTCTGAATTTTTCATCACTTATTCTTGTAAGAAATTTAATTCTCTACCAAAAAGTACTGAGGTAGTTTTTTCGTAATCCTAACGGGTAAAAAGTTGAGCTTTAAATACTCGCAATAAAAGAAAATTTGAAGGAAGATAGTTTCAAAGCAGCTTTTTGAAGGAATTGACAATTGTACTAGATTATTTATTTAATTTTTATGGATTTGAAATAATTTTCAACTTTTTGAAAACTTTTTTGGGACTTCATGTATTTATTTCAAAATTTATTAAACTCTAGACTGTTTATAATATAATTCACACATGTCTTTTGGTGAAGTATTAACTGTGAATTATGAATAATTTTTCTTATTACAATTTGGATATTTTTTCCTATGAGCAGCATCTACTTGTAACAGATATTGTTTCTGTTCTTCATCTTTGGTCCCAAAAGTGGTTATATTTTTCAATTAAAGCAACCGCGCGCACTGCCACATCGTTGACTACTTTGAGTTCTTTGAAGAATTTTAGGCAATCAATATAGTTTTTATTTGTATCCCACAACATAGGATCCATGTCAAGGAAATCGCATGGCAAATTAAATGAATCAAATAAAACTTTTGATTTTTTGGTAATAAATTCACTCATATCTAGGGCACATAGTGATACCTTCATCACTATCTGTTTGTGAATTTGTTTCAATGATAACAGGGCTTAATCGTTGTGCACTACGAGACTTATTTTTTTTTAATAAAATCCACCTGTTATGGAGTCTTACAATTTTTGAAATTGCATTACATGGTTTAATTACTGGTATACCAGTAAGACTCCAAATGTCATTAACCTCATCCAATACATTTCGTGCGCTTTCACGAACAGTTTGTTTGAGAAAATTCAAATTATTAAAAAAAAAAACTTAATACTTGTCGCTGAGATGGTAATTTTCGTTTGTTCAATGCGCTGCTTTGAAAGCCTACTAAATACACATATTGATTTTTAGATCCGCTTGACATTTTGTCAGTATTATGATTACAAATGTTATGATCAATAATATTCTTTACGTGTTATGCATAAAGTTACTACTAGATGGCAAGATAAGRTATAGCAAATGATATTATCGACGGAAAGTAGATGACAATAATTTTTAAAATTGAATTTGAACTTATTCGAAATTTGAATCAAGAGCAAGTTAGTACTTACGGATGTATACTGAATTTAATTTTTTTATTTAAGAAAAAAATATAAATTACATAATCAAATACTTTGTAACAGGAAATGTGATACAACATGGATTTTAAAATCATATCCAATTAAATTTTCTTTTATTGCGAGTATTTAAAGCTCAATAACTTTTTACCCGTTAGGATAACGAAGAAACTACTTCAGTACTTTTTTGTAGAGAATTGAATTTCTTACAAGAATAATTGATGGAAAATTCAGAAAAACATTTTTTTCGTAGTTTTACCAGATGAAAACTTAAAAAAAATTTTTTTACGTGTTATTTAAATGGGAAAATAGAAATTCATTGAGCTTCATGAAGAATTGAAATATCAAGCTGCGCTTTGGAGGGAATTTTTTTTATACCTTAGAGAAGCTATTGAGACAATAGCACTTGAAAAAAAAAAATGTCTTTTTTGGACCACTCTAATATAATATATATGTACAACAAAAAATTGGATAACATTAAACAAGATAGTCTGAAAAGAATTTTCATGATATTTTTATATTCAGTAATCGTTAAATGGCAGGAGCTTGTTTTGTCCATAATTTTGCAACATATTTCATACTTCCATTAAATCGAAATGTTGTCACTAGAATAAAATGGCTCACCGTCTCCTATAATCTCCAGTTCGGATATACACCAGTATCCTCGCGAAAAGTCAACAGACGCCTCGCTCTGGGATTATTTTATTACGGCTGAATCGGTTCGTGTCCACGATAGGTATTATGCGTATAGGGATTGCAGAGAAACAGTAACTACATACATATATATACGTGCATGAGAGAGAAAAAGAGAAAGAGAAACAGAGATAGGAGACGTGCAATAATTTATGATTAACGTGAAAACCAGTAATTGAGCGTTCGCCGGACACTAGCCGCAAAATTTTGCGAGACGTACGAGCACGATGAAATATACGAACGTTCCTATATATATAGTACTAGTTAGTCGCATGCGAAAAGTCGACTTGGATAATCCTCTGATGTGTTAGTTTTCGATACATTCGAGATAAAATGTGAGAACTATGTATTATATTGATATAATATACAATATGTATAGTGTAATGTGTATATATATACATGCATGTATCTAATTACATTATGTTTCGCTATATATAACTACATATAATTAGAATGTATACATATCTTGTGTATATGATATTCGATCGATATGCTCGAATTCATTTCCAAGAATTTTCCTTTCAATTTTCTATTAACGTTAATTGATCTAATTTAATTAAACTACGCACATAATTACTGTGATAATACAATTTTTAATAATATAGATATACGTACGTATAACTATAATAGATTATTTCGTTTATTTCGAAATATTATCTGAATGCTTACCAGATAAATTATTCTTATATATAAAAACAAGAAAATGAATAGAGAAAAAGAAACTAAACCAATTTCTTTCAGATATCCGTTATTCTTCGTTATTATCGCCATACTTATTACCAAGCAATTAACTTCATATTCTGATCGATTTTCGTAATGGAAAGTAATAAAGAACGTTGCCGTGGTTGGATTAACCCCGAGCTAATAGATAGAGGATAGACAGGATTTTTCGCGGTCTGCCGTCAGCCGACGATTACGCGGCTTACGCTGTGTAAACGCCACGGCCGTCGTTTTGACGTCGTTAAAAGGTAAAACGGGATATGCATCTCGCGACCTCGACCGCATCCACAACGCGCATTTCGAACGTCAAGTGGATTTGTCCGGGCCTAGCCGAATTGGTTCTAGTTAACAATGCCTATTCTTTCGATCAATTTGTCTCCTACCTTTTATTTTAGTTATTATTTTTTTTCTTCTCCTTTTTTCTTTGTCTCTTTTTGACTCATCTATAAATGTTATTCAATTTTTTTCTTTGTCTTCCCCAATATAATTTTACAAATTAATGTAATAAATAAAATCTTTCAAATAAAGTCCCCAATTGATAGTTGCAACATGTAATAGCATAAGATTAGAAATGATAAGACATGTAAGCGATGCAGCAATACGAAGATTACAAATTTGCATTGGCGTTAACAGACACGWCTTCGAACATCTTCTGTAATGTAAGAAACTTTATTTTCTACCACATTTGACCTCGCATGACCTTGAATAATAGCTCGTTCAATTCGTCTCAACATTTGCCATCACATCCCATWAAAAAAAAATATAATATTCATTTAAAAAAATGCAGGTAACCTTGAAATTTACTTTATGCCTCCACCCATGCAAAAAACGTTCAAGCCAAAAAATGCCCTTCATCATGCCGTGTAAGTTGCGTATATAAAATTTTTCATATTGTTATAAACAACGACAATATTCTAACTGAACAGAGATATTGTCCCACCCTGTATATATTTGTTGATATTAATGAAATATTTTTTGGTTCGATGTTTTTTAAAATAAATGAATATTTTGTTTGGTATAAATAATTATTTGTTATTAGGATCTTGAATAAGTTCTCACTGTTTCATCAAAGATGGCAATAGCAGTACTCCGTGTTTGAAATTTCGAATGGTAACGCACTTGCAAGGAAGTACTGTATCTAACCTGACATTTCAGTGTATGATAGTTCACTTTAGTGTAAACAAAGTAATTTTTTATTAGTTTTGAAAATGTCTACTTTTGTGCCAACTAAAGTGTATTTGCGGGGAATTTTATTGCACTATTTTATTCAAAAGAAATCGGCAGCTGAAGCACATAGAATTCTTGTTGAGACTAATAGTGACAATGCTCTGTCGAATACGATATACAGAGACTGGTTTCGACGCTTCAAAAATAATGATTTTGAACTTGAGGATAAAGAACGTTCTGGCGCATCAAAAAAATTTCAACACAGAGAATTGGAGGAATTACTCGATGAAGACCGATCTCAGACGCTAGCAGAACTTGGAAAAACATTACAAGTTGATGAATCAACTGTTTCAAAACATTTAAAAATGTTAGGAWTRATCCAGAAGCAAGGACATTGGGTGCCATATGAATTGAAGYCAAGAGACATCGTACGGCGTTTTGTCACGTGTGAACTACTGCTTCAACGGCAGAAAAGAAAAGGTTTTTTGCACCGTATCGTGACTGGCGATAAAAAATGGATACACTATGATAATCCAAAGCGTAGAAAATCATGGGGTAAGCCTGGCCATGCATCAACATCGTCCGCAAAACCAAATATCCATGGTTCGAAGCTTCTTCTCTGTATTTGGTGGGATTAGCAGGGTGTAATTTATTATGAGCTGCTCAAACCGAATGAGACTATCACGGGGGATCGCTATCGACTTCAATTGATGTGTTTGAGTCGAGCCCTAAAAGAAAAACGGCCGCTATACGAGAAGAAACACGACAAAGTGATTTTGTTACATGACAACGCCCGGTCTCATGTTGCAAAACCAGTGAAAACCTACCTGGAAACGTTTCGATGGGAAGTTCTACTTCACCCGCCGTATTCATCTGACATAGCCCCTTCCGATTTTCATCTATTCCGTTCGATGGCTTAGCTGACCAGAGTTTTCATTCTTACGAAGAAGCTAAAAAGTGGGTCGATTCTTGGATAGCCTCAAAAGACATGCCGTTTTTCCAACGCGGAATTCATATACTGCCAGAAAGATGGGAGAAAGTGGTCTCTAGTGATGGGCAATACTTTCAATAAAACGTTTTTGTTCCTTATATTTTAAATAAAGTTTTTATTTTATAAAAAAAACAGCGAGAACTTATTCAAGGTCTTAATATATATATTTCGTGTGCATGCTGCTTTAAGGTAAATCAAGAACCTGAACAAGCAACGTAGAAGCAGAACAGAGGAGGGAAAGGAGGGTTTCTCGCACACCTGTCTGAATCTCGAGTAACGAGCCAAGAGAAACACAAGGCGACCCTACGAATTTGTGCTGCTGCTCCTTTGAGTTACTTTTTTCTCTCTCTCTCTCTCTCTCTCTCTCTTTCTCTTTCTCTTTTTACCTCCCTCCTTCCTTCCTCTTCTCATCCCCTATCTACCAACACGCCATCCTACTCTCTGTCCTTTCTCTCACTTTTTATTTCGTTGTGGAGCACCGAGTCAGGACGTATAGCCCAGAAAACCGGTTCCTAGTAGTATTTATGCACTGGGCCCCACCGTAAACGTAGAGAAACGCATAAGGTACTTCTAAACGAACTACCTTGTGCCTTCACTCCCTCTTCCCTTCATACTCGTCTAGGTAAGAGTACTTTGCTTAAGAGAAATGTCTTTTCCTCATACGATTTGTTTTCTCTCTCTCTCTCTCTCTTTCTGTCTTTTACTATCTTTTCTTTCATTCTTTGTTTTCTCTTTGTTTTTACCCTTCTCTTCCTTATTTCTTTTTCGACATCTTTTCATTCATTTCCTTTACTTTCCTTTACTTCTTTCAAACAAACAATCTCACTTCTTCTCACCCAACAACAAAAACCTTCTCTTTTGCGAACTCACGCACAACCTTATTAAGACTTCTTTTTTAGACTGAATTAATAACGATTAAATTATTTATTTCTATCTCTTTCTCTCCTTCATTTTGTTTCTTTTTTTTCTTTTCCTATTTCTTTCTTACTCTATGAGTACAATTATATTATTTATATAATTATTTCTTTTTATTGTAAAATTACTCAAGCTATAATATATATTATTTATAGAAATTTAATCAAATCGAACCTAAAATAATATACCAGATAGATCAAATTCCTAATGGTAATATCCGATAATTGAATTTTGAGAATATATACATCAATAATACTTGTCTGTAGAGTATGAATTATCTATTCATTTATACAATATAAATGTTCTCTCAAATCACGTCAAATAACACTGAATAACAAAAGCTACTCAGTCTCATTCAATCATTAATCATATTCTGTATGAATTAGATATCAATATCTACCAATTCAATTACAAAAATTAAAAGGATAAACGAATGATCCGAAAAGAAATGAGAAAGAATTTGATTTTTCAATGAAAATTTCTGGAAATTTTTTTTCACTTTTTCTCCGTTTCTTTTGCTTTCGATGCTAATGCTGTTTCTGTTTCTGTTGGTGTTTGTGATGATTGTGGTGGAAAGAAAAGAAAGAGAAAACAAAAAAGCCATGGTGAAGTCTTCTTTTCGTCGACCTCGTTAAACATGCAAACGAACGAACGAGAAAGTTTTTCGGGCTTGTGTTTTTTCTCCCTTTCTCTCTTTCTTTATCTCTTTCGCCCTTTTATACATGAGCAAAGGGAAACGGCTCGAAATAGGTAATTATTCCAATGTATCTCGAATAAAATTTCTCTGATAGAGAATAATCCGATTCTCGAGAAATCTTTTATTTCTATACCTAGCGAGAACACTAATGTAAGAAAACATCGTCGACTTTGTTATCGCGACTCGATGCTCCCATCTTTAAATGTTTCTATCCTGACCACTCCGAAAAAAAATCATCCAATCTTTTCTAGACGTCCTATTTCGTAAAAGTCAACTGTAATGTCTTTTTATTCTACCTCTTTCCATTTATCTTTTTTTATCTCTTTCTCTTTCTTTTTATAACATGCCTGATCATTAATGATACATTTCTTTGGAACGAAAACTACCAAAACGAGGAAAGCTAAGTAATTATTTTCCATATTGTTCAAATGAGAGAGAAAAAGAAAGAATGAAAGTCGATTGCAGAGATCATTTCAGTTGAAGACTAGGTCGTCCTATATTCAATTATCCCGATCTTCGACTTCGTAGGAAGAAAAAATCTTTCTACTCCTTTTTTTTCTTTTTTTTTAAATATACTGCCAATTTTATAGAAGAAACCTCATTGAAATAATCTAATGTTTTTCCTATTATTTTTAATAGCGAATTAAAA